GCGTTTTGTACTGCTGTTACACAGCACAAAACGCATAAAAATCGGTACAGACGCGCAGCGCACACAGACACACACAAAAACACACACAGACAATCTCTCGTCAATATGCGTTTTTCGCATTGCATTGCTGCAAAAAACGCATAAAAAGTATAATAATTGGCCAACGCACGGGCTTCCCGTGCGAAGATGCGTTTTTTGCACAATTCCCCCACAGTTTTTGTCGCTTCCAGCGCCGGTTTTTCGGCAAATGCTTTTAGCTAAACAAATTAAGACTAGCTGCCAGAACTGTCAGGAAACACCTTTTTAAAACTTCAGCTTTCTAGCTATCCTGGCTCTCGAGTTAGCAAATTGCTCGAAAAAGAGTTTCACGGGCCCGTACATGGGTACTATGCGTGCCCGAGACTGGTTTGAAGCTCATTAAGACTTATGTAGACATGGGACGTCCACTCAAAATTTCAGCTTTCCAGCGTTTCTGATTCCCGAGTTAGCTTCTTACCCGCAAAAAGCTTTCACGGGCCCGCACGTGGGTATCACTCGGTAAGACCTCCCATTTTGGGGATGGGGGCCCGCACATGCACTTAGATTAAACCCTCAGGGTTTCAGCTCCGTGGCTTTTGAAGGTCTCGAGATGAAAAATCGATACAGACGAACATACAGGCGCAAACACACACGCAGACAACCTGTCGTTAATATGCGTTTTCTGTATTGCACAGCTGCAAAAAACGCATGAAAATAACGTGCTAAACTTGACGAGATTTGACTTGCTAGCTGCTTTACTGTTGTGCATAATTCGTCACGAATACGTCACACCAATGAAACCAAACATTTACTGTGGCGGGCAGAAGATCGCAGTATAAATCGCATGATTTTTAATCGTGCAAGTCGGGACGAGTTTTGCCCAGATTATATGACAGGCTTTTCAGACAGCTAATCCTTTTCAGTATTCTGAATTCATTGTCATTATAATTTCTGGCCCTTGGTGGTATCATAAAGCAGTAACAGACTCGCTTGGCTTCTACAAGAGGAATAACTCAAAATCAATTCCGCTGTCTAAAGTTTCATCCATTTAGCTAAAGCTGCGTGCCTGGAATACCTCGGATAGCTCTTGGTTCTCAAACTGTTCAGCTGGCAACTCCACCATTTGCTTTGACTTGTATTGCATCGCCTTATGCGAACAAGCACTGATGCTGCGTCTTCGTTTATTAATTCGGCCCGGTTAAAGACTGTAATCGGTTTGCGGCATTTTTGATCGCCAAACGAAATTTCTTTCAGTCAGTGGTTTAAAATGCCAAGCACCAAGAGACTGGCGAGTTTATGAGCACCCAGACACCTGGCGACAAGAACGCATTAATACACGCGGGGATCCATCGCGATATACTAAGACAGGTCGGGCGCATGGCAATTATCATATGTTTCAAAAGGTAATCGGGCGCCTCGTCTTCACGTTAGAACTTGAACTACTTACCATGCAACATCGACCCTCGTGTTCCAAGACCAGCTGGATGCACTTTTTTTTTGAATCTGCTTCCTCTAAGACAGTAAACACCTGGTGACACTTTCTCTGTCGGCTTTTCGCTTTCGAGTTATAACTACGTCCGTTTCGGAGCTGAATTTTTGTTGCTTTTACGAAGCAAATTGTTTTTCTCATTTTAGGAAAATCACTGATTAGCAGAACGTTGAATCCTACGGTTATTATTCTTGGAATGCTGATTACAGTATGCGGCAATAATACCGTGAGCATTTGTTACAACTCAAGTTTACTTTTCTCTGAGAAAATAAAGCACAGGGCAAAACGAATGCTGTAGTTTTGTTTTCACAGCGAAATTTCAGAATCAAATCAGTCGAATGTGTTTTAAAAATTCTTATCGTCAGTTTCTATATGACTTGAAAGAATTTTAATTATTCTTTGCCGTTAATTTTGCACTAAATGGCAAGCAAATTCTCACTACGTAGGAAGAAAATAAGACTTACCTACGCCAAAAGGCCGAAACAACCACCAGAAAGAGAGAAATAACGACATCATCATTTGACTTCCAAAACGGTTTAAGCATACTTCTTGGCTGTTAGCGGAAAAAATGAGAAAAGCCAGTCAGGCGAACTGACCATGAGTCCCCTGACAGGCGCAGTTAAAGAATGAAGTACCAAAATTTGATATCGAATGCTGCGATTTGCATAAGAAACAAGCTTGTGCGCGTGATTTCGTATTTTAAGACACCAAAGGACCTGAAAGTTCGCTCTACAACTGCACATATGAAAGGGCTACGATCCTAAAATTTCGGCTTTCTAGCTTCCATAATTCTGAATGGGCAGCTAGATCGAAGCACACAGACATGGTCTCAATATTATAAGTTTGTTTCTATGTAGCAAATGGTGGCGTGCAAGAAAGCCCGCCTGAGTATTAGCTTTCGCTATAACGTTTGTTTTCCTGAACTTTTTGTACGCCCTTCCATGTATTTTGATATAAAATTTTTCTAGAACTGTGCTCGGAATAGGCCAAGCATCCAAAGTTGTTAATGTATTTGCTCTTATAACGATTCGAAAATTTCTTTACTGTGCTGCAACAAGAAAGAATCAGGTTAACCAAGTTTTTTGAAATTTTTAACTTTTTCAATTGATGAGCTGACAAACTCATTCCAGGATGTCTATTCAGTGAATATGCTCGACAGAAATCTTTTAACTTTGTCTAAAGCGTACCAGCTACCGGTACGAAGATGCGTTTTTTGCACAGTTCCCCTGCAGGTCTTTTTCGCCAGTGGCATGCTCTTCCCAGCAGATGCTCCTAGCTAAAAGAATTGTGACCGGCCACCATGACTGTAAGAATTTATTACAGTGACTCCCAATCCAAGCTCAGAAAATTCAGCGCTCCGGATGTTTTGGTTGCGGAGTTACGCCAAATTCCACATGTTCATACGTGAGTAGCAACGTGAGTGTTTTCTTCGCTTGGAGTTACTTAAAAACGGCCCTATGTGGTGCTCAGAAAGCTTCAGCACTCCAGCTGCCCTGGTTGCGGAGTTACGTCAAATTTCACTTGTGTACACGTGTTCGTACGTGAGATGCAGAATGGCTGATAAGTAACTTACTTTCACGGACACAACAGTAGGCATCAAGTAGCGCTGCAAAATTGCAGCTCTCTGCAGCTTACTGACCGCTTTAAATTTGGAGTTGGCATGATGCCAGTCCAAACTTTGACGTGTGCATACGTGAGTCCTGAGGATGCGTGAGGGCTGAATTCGAAATCTTCGGATTT